ACACAGGGCAAGCCAGTTTCAGAGAGAGAGAATGGAACAGAAGAAGAGTTGGAAGGGGGTGGCTTTCTGGGTTCTCTGAGTCCAGGCCCTGGTTCTCATCTGTTCCCCATGGCCCAGCTGTATCCTTGTACTTAGATTTCGTAAGATGCCCCCGTATCCTTATAACATAAAATCGCCTTTTGCCATTAATCTGGCCCCAGTTGTTTCTAGCAGTCACAACCACGACAATCTTAATGAAAACAATTTAAGGCAATTACCTCCTTCTGTCTGTTTTTCCATGGTGTGGTCACCCTCCACAACTTCAGCCTGGAGGAGGGTGTCCTACAGGCGACATCGGCTGGCAGGGAAGGCCAGTCTCTTTCTCCTTCTGTGTCCCTCCCTCTTCCCCCAGGCCTGTCCTCTCTTCCCTGGGGTCTGTCCTTCTACAGCCTTCAAACCATGTGTAAGCCCTGTTTCCCACACGCAGAGGTCCCTAGATCAGGCCTTTCCTGGAGGCCTTTCTTCCTTCCCCATCCCATTTCCTCTCTGTCCGCCATCCTGAGTTCAGAGGAATGTGTGTCATGCCTCCCAGGGGGTGGCTACAGTCTAACAGGGGACTTCAAAGCCTTGAAGATGACGGGTATTAGCTGAACCTATTGATGTAACCATTTCATAATATATGTAAATCAAACCACCATGCTGTGCGCCTTAAACCTGTGCAGTGATGTATGTCAGTTAATTCTCAGTAAAACTCTGGTGGGTCATGGGGAAAGCCTTCTGGGGGCAGACTAGTGTGGGAAGATGTTTTGGGAAAAGAAAACTTTTCTAAAGTTCTTCCATAAACTGGATGGAAAGGTGAGGATCTGCCTCACTGGATCAGGGATGAGGAGACTGAATTCTAGTCCTGGTTTTGCTTCTAACTCACCGTGTGACTTCAGGATTCAGTGTCCTCAGCAGCAGAATGACAGAACTGAATGAGATCAAAGGCTTCCGGGAGCCTCGTGAGGGTGCCGTGGTCCTCGCCTTGGAAACAGTAGAGGGAGAAAGAGACGGCACCTGGGTCCCAGTTCTCTCCACTCAGAGTGGCCCCACGTGTACCTGATTTGCACACTGAGCGGCCTTCTCAGATGTGGTCTTAGCCCAGGTTCGCAAAGAAGCAGGTCTGAGGCAGAACTGTACGTGCTCACATTTTACGAGGGAGTGCCATGCGGGGAAACTCTGGTGCGGGGAAAAGCCAGCTGAGAGACGGAAGGAGGGGAGGGCACGGAATGCTTTGCTGAGCTGGCTGCCATAAGCTTCCCTGATGCTCCTTTTTTTTTTTTTGGTGGCAGAAAGGTGATTTTATTTTTATTTTTTTTATTGAGTTATAGTCAGTTTACAATGTTGTGTCAATTTCTGGTAGACAGCACAATGCTTCAGTCATACATGAATGTACATATATTCATTTTCATATTCTTTTTCACCGTGAGCTACTGCAAGATCTTGAATATAGTTCCCTGTGCTATACAGTGTAAACTTGTTTATTCTGTATGTACCTGTCAGTATCTGCAAATCTCTTAACTCCCAGTCTGTCACATCTCACCCCTGATGCTCTGTCTTGTGGGACCTGCTTTAAAGAGACTGTATGAAGCTTAGGACAGTCCACTCAGAAGGAGGAAGAGACATGAATTTATCTGCCAACCCGTGTCTCTTATTGGTCAGCGGTTCATCCCATGGAGGGTCTGACACCCCTCCACTGCTGAGGCCAGAAGTTGGAGGTGGGGGTGCTGCTGGCTTGTGCCAGAATGAAACAGGTGACAAGATCTGGGAGACAGGTGTAGCCAAGAGGATGTGATGTGGTGCATTAAAAAGGATCTCACACAGCTCTAGTGGAAAAAGAGTGAGAACATCTTAAAATAAAAGTTGAAACCGCGGGGCTGTTTCATCCCCAAAAGACCTTCCCAGCTGCAGTTTCTCGATGCTCTCACTGAAATCACAGCTCAGATTGCTGAGAATATTTGCCCTTCCGGTGTGCAGGAATCATATCCCCAGATTGTTGCAACCAAGATCCCTGGAAATGGGTACTCCTCAGTGCCCAAGAGTTGATGCCAATTTTGGTCTGTCCCCCTCTGCTGCCCACCACCACCCCCAATTTCCATGCAATTTGAGAGCTAATGCAGATGGTGTTTTTTAAGTGTCCTGATGGGATAGGAAAGAGGGGGACTGATAATCCTGCCAGGCTGGGCGAGTTTTCATCTTGTTCGCTCAGAAAGTCCTGGCCTCCCTGCCAGCCTGGACTCCCCCTCCATTCAAGGGGTAGCTGTTGGCTCCAGACGGGAGGCAGATTTGTTGGTATTTAAGGGATTGGAGGATTAAATGGGCCAGAGAGGCCCCCACCACACAGCCTCATCCTCTAATGGTGGGGAGCCCTCCCCTGGGTATTATTAAGTCAATGGTTACATCACAGGCACTTCCGGCCTCTTCCTCTGAAGCCCAGCAGGCTCGCCAAGCCAGCAGAGAATGAGAGATTAGGGTCAGAGAGGGAAGCCTCAATCCTTTGTCTCTGATGTATGCACAGACCAATCTGTAGATGGAAGCTCAGACTCACCCAAAAAAACCTGGGATCCGTTCTGAGCGTTGTCATTGGCTGACACTGGGTACACTGCTTCGGCTCTGGACACTGGCTTTCTCTGCTCATGACATGGTGAGGAGCACATGAGAAAGCAAGCTATAAAGCAAACGTGCCCTTTAGTGGGGCAACGGTGGGCGCTGGGGTTGGCCTGTGGGCTGCTGGACCAAGTGTCACAGCTAGTGAGCAGTGGCACCAGGACTTAAACCCAGGCAGTCGGCCTTGCAGATAGGTGTTGGGCTGAGCCCTTTGTTCTTTCTCAGGGACGCTGTCCCCCCAGGCAGCCTCTAAGGTTCTGACTGTCATCTGTATTCCTGGTGACTACACGTCTGTCTGCCCAACTCCCAAGTCCGGCCTAAGTTTCAGATCCTTGGGTCCAACAGCCTTCCTGACCCACCTCAAGCTTAACATGTCCAAGGATGGATTCCCGTTTAGCCCAAACCTGCTCCAACTCACTTCCCAAGGGGCACCTCCACCATCCACCCAGCTGCAGAAGCTGGCCACCGCCTGAACTCTTCTCACCCCTGACACCCGAGTCACAGCCACCATACCTCGCACACAACTCTTGATGTCAACTCTCTCCTTCCCACTGTCACTGTTACCAGTCCAGGACCCTCACTAGAACTGTGCGCCGTCTGCTCCACATCTCGCCCCACACTGTGGAGGGAAGGGTCTAAAATGCAAATATGATGGTGCCACTGCCCTGCCCAAAGCCCTCCCGGTGTCCTCAGGATAAAGGCTCTCCTCTTTTGCACGGGTCCCTTCCCCTGGTCAACTCCTCTTGCCCTTCCTCCCTGCCCTCTACTGCCCTCACTGAACTTCTGTCCTTTCCTCCAAACACCAGGGTCTCTCCGGATGCTGGGCCCCCTGGCTGGCTGTTCCCTCTGCCTGGAACATTCTTCCCCACCCACCCCCACCACCCTGTGTGCTCGGCTGACTCCTGCTCAGACGTCATTGTCATTTCAGAAGTCCAAAACCACAGCTCAGATGTCCACCTGAAACTGAGTGCCCCTAAACTGAGTTCATGATTAATCTCTCTATCCAAAACGCAATTCTCTTTCTTGTCCTGTCTGACCTCAATCCTGGGCTAGCTGAAAACACTAATCAGCCAGAGTCAGGTGACTAAAACTGCTGTTGTTGATAATAACATCGTGTGGACGAAAAATGCAGCTGCCATTGCAGTAAACAAAGGATGTTGCAACCGTAAAGCCGTCAGCCAGTGCAGCCACCCCTAAAGGTGCACCCTGAGGGGAATTAATGATGGGAAAAGATAGGATACTGGCCCTGGATAGTTAAGGTGCACATCAAAGGAATGATTTCAGTAAGCCCAGACTCTTGTATGTTCCCGTTCATAGGAAAGTATGAAAATTATTAACTTGAAATGTGTTTATTTGATTAGCAATAACCTTCTGATGTTTGACTACATTTTTTTTCCAGCAAAAACTCATATATCCTGGCTCCTCCCTTACCTCTTTGGAACAGTCCCTCAGAGCGATCTGAGAGGCTGCCATCCCAGGCTGCAGTTCTCAGTAAGGTCCCCAAATAAAACATAATTCTCAGCTTTTAGGCTGTGCTTTTTTTTGTCAACAATTGTTAATGTACTAAAATTGCTATTATAGATAACATCATTAATGTACACACTCAGGTTATTTCTCCAGGGCAAGATGAGCTAACAGACCCCCAAGCTATGGACCACCTGGCCAGAGATTTGTAAGCCAGAGATATCTCGATTCTTGAAGCTACAATTAACAAATGTCACAAGACAATGATTAATCACAGCCTCTTCTTCCCTTTAAAAAAAAACGAACTCAAAGACTGAGTTGGAGTAGATTGAGGCTTGTCTCCCACTCCCTTGCTTGGCACGGGCAATAAACAGTGCTTTCCTTCAACACAACCTGGTGTCAAGATTGACTTTGCTGGACATCCAGAGCAGACCCAGTTCTGTTTGGTAACAGAAGCCTTGTCTGAACCCACTCCCTTCAAGTCTGCCGGCTCGATACTTTCCCCAGCACACCACTTACCAGTGCCCCCTGCCCTCCAAGTGTAAGCCCTACTAGAGCAGATTTCCACCTTTCTGGCACGAACAGTGCCCTGCTCCCAGAAGAGCTAACACGTTTGAATAATGGGAGATAAGGGAAGTAACTTTTCCAAAGCCACAGAGTCCAAGAGTGACAAAGCGAGAATTGAGATCTGCATCCCTCCCACCATAACTTGGAAACAATTCTTCGGAAAGAGTTCCTGTGCATCCCACCCACCTGCCCCACAGCTTATTTAATTCCTAGCGTCAAGAGCCACAGAACTGACATTTTAAGGACCGACACCGCCCAACTGAGGAAGAAAAATGGGTCACACAGTGGGAAAGGACATGAACCCCTCCCCCAAGCTTTCCCATCCCCAAGGACAAGGGAAATCTCGCCCCGCCTCCTCCCCAGGAGAGTATTTGCGTCAGGTTAGTCTTTTTCGGACGTCCCTAGCGCAGCCTAAACCACGATCAGGTCTCAAGCAGCTTAGGCAAAGTTTCCTGCCCCTGGTCACGGAGACGACCCTAGCAGATCCCAGCCCCAAAAGGTCACACGCCGTGGGTGCAGGGCTCTGTACCCGATCCCGGCAGGGAACGCCGCGGTCCTCCGGCCCCGCCTTCCCCGGCAGCGGAGCTCGGCCCGCCTCCCTCGCGCCGTTGGCTCCTCTCCTGGCCCCGCCCCCGCGCTCGGTGTTTGCAGTCTGGGCGGGCTGGCCCGTGGAGCCGGTCTCCAGCTTGGACCGGCAGGGCCGAGACGCCGGCCCGGGGGCGGCAACCGTGGAGGCAGCGGCGCGGAGGCGGCAGCACCCGGGAGCGGCGGGCGCCCCGGGCGTGCAGCCGGGCGCCTCCTTCCTGCAGGCCAGGTGGGTGCACGCCGGCGGGCGGAGCGGAACGGCGGCCCCACCACGTGACAGGGCGGGCGGGAGCCCGGGGCCGCGGAGCTGCGGAGCCGAGGGTGGGTTTTCCGCCAGATACCCTTGCAGCTGAGCCCCGCCTGTGTGCCCCTTTCTCTTCCTGGGGGATCCCCGGCCCAGGGAAGCTCAGGGAAGCTCAGCGGCTCCCGCGGCCCGGTCGGCTCTGGGACAGACGCTCAGCTGGGGGAACTTATCCACGGGTTCTAGAAACTCTGCTTGGGGGCAGCAGGCCCAGAGGACACCCCCGCTCACTGGGGCCCCCATCGCGCCTGCAGGCCCTTTGCGCCACCTCCAAGTTCGTGGTCCGTCCAACCATGAATAGGATTTGGCTTCTGGTTTTGCTCCTTGCGCGGAGGAACCCAAGAATGTAAATGGAAGAGATAGCAAAGCGTGGAAGCTCCCCTCCAGAGAAAGAATGAGGAAGGGCTTTTCCCACACGGTAGCTGTTCCCTTCTCTCAGCAAGGGGAGGAAGTCACTAGTTTATGTAGTTGAGACCAGGCGCATGGAGCAGAGGAAGAGGTACAGAAAGCCACCTTTTAACCTTTCCCTTCACTCTGCCTTCATTCCATTTTACAGATCAAAAACAGAGCCCCAGTGGGGCTGAAAGGTCATCTTGGAGGGCTTCCTGGAGAAAGTGGCAATTGAGCTGCATCTCAAACTACCCAGTAGGTGACAGAGAAGAAAGGCTGTTTCAGCCAGGGGAAAGGCAAGGAGTGCAGTGGTCTTGGAGCTTTCTGTGTGTACAGTGGCAGGAGGATACAGGCTGACTGTGAAGGACCTTTAATGGCAGCAGGGCTGGGACCAGAGTGCAAAATTAAAGAGACGCTCCCTCTCAGGACACTTGTGCTCGAAAACCTTCCATGACTCCCCTGTGCCTACTTAAATGTTGGGCCCTATGTGCCTCGCTTGTCTCAGCCTAATTCCTGCCCTAAATGGCAGGTTAAGGATGCAGCTTTTTTGCACAGGGGAGCCATGGAAGGTTTTTGAGCACTAGTGTGCTCAGTTTTAGGAAGTTTGTGGTACGATTTGGATAAGAGGGGAAATCTGAGAGATTTGCCTGAGAGTAGCTCTTTCTCCTGCTACTGAGGGACATCTCCGTTCTGGATCCCTTACAAGTGGGGAGTCTGAACTATAGTAGACCAGTTAGAGTAGTCTGTGAGTATCAGACATGGTCACTACTTTATCTCTTGTGTGAGCTTTCCATGTGCATCATCTTACTCAGTCTTTTTGTGTTTTCAACCTGTGAACTCTAAGGCCTAGAGAGGTTACATCATTTACTGGCAAGAACCAAGGCCCAAGGCCAAAGCTTCTGGGTTTTTTTAAGTAATTTTTTTTAACTTTAGTTTTATTGGATTTTTTGTTGTTGTTATCTGAGGGAGGTAATTTGGTTTATTGCCTTTTTTTTTTCCTTTAAATGGAGGTACTGGAGATAGAACCCAGGACCTCATGCATGCTAAGCAGGCACTCTATCAGTTGAGCTATAACCTCCCCACTGGTTTCTGCTCTTACTACTCCACTTTGGTTGCCGAGGAGTGATGTCTCTTTTCACTCCTGAGTGAGGTCCCCACCAGCCAGGGTGCTCGTGGGGATGGCGTGAGGGGCTGGCTCTCTTCCGGGGTGTCTCTGCCTGCTTCATTGGATGCCTCTAGGCCTGTTCTCTGTATCATTGCTGCTCAAGACAGCAGGCACAGTCATCCCGACCAATTCCTAGGATGCTCGGATTTCCTCTGCAGCCTCCATGCTTTGCTTACATACCTCTAATGACATGATATTTACTACCCTTCAATGTAGCCTATTCCAGCTTCCACCTGCTTTGTTGAGTTATTTTTTTTAATTGTAATCAAAGTAGTATGTGCCCATGATTAAATAAAATTGCACAGACAGGCTTAGAGTAAAAAGCAATGGTCCTCTGTACCACCTCTCCCTAGCATCAGAGACAACCACGGTGGCTTCTTTTAGCTGTTTCTATCAGTATTAAATTCATATTTCTAAATAATAATAAATGTTACGAATGTAACACTTTCTGTGAACCAGGCCCTCCTCTAAGTTTTTGCATTTCAACCACAACTCTTGAGGTAGAATCCACTATTATCCCCCATTTTACAGGTGGAAACATTGAGGCTCAAGAGGTAACTTGCTCAAGATCTAATTAGTGGTGTAGCCAGGATATGAACCCAGGCAGTCTCCAAAGTCCATGCTCTTGAAAGCTATACTCAACTGCTATTTCTTGGTTTATCAATTTTAGCCTCTAAGCTAATGTTTACTAATTTCCTATTATGATTTGGTTCACTTATACCTCCCCCTTCTTCACAAGATGGTTTTTTTTTTTAATCAGCATTTTTAGTTTTGCTCATTGTTACCTTTGTAACCTTAGGGAATATGTATATACCATTATTTCTTTTTTGGTCAGCTGTAGGCAGTGTCTCATGATTCCTTTTTAAAAGGAGAATATTACTCCCCTAACCTAAACTTTAGCTTTCTTTGCCCTTTCCCCAATTCCCATCATCTAAAGTTTTACTTTTAAGTTGTCAAGGTTGAGAGTATTTACATGCTGTATTTTAATCATCATTGCCTTCCATGTTTTGTTTGTGGCTTGATTCTAAACTTGGAAAATTAATATATAATGTCTTTATTAGTTCAGCTATGTAAATGTTGTTCCCTACAGAGTCAAGTAATGTTTAGCAGTTACATTTGCTTTCTTATATGGCTTTCATTTTTCCCGGAGTTTCTAATTGCCTTTCTTTTTCTGCTCCTCTTATTATTTGCCTTCATTTTCTCATTTTGGTTCAAACTTTTCATCATGGCAGATATTTTCACCATGTGTAGACAGAACCAGAATTGGTCCCTCTACAGTCCCCATTCATAGGTCCCTGCTTGACTCCACCATGGCTGAGATGCCTACCTTTTCTGCCCGGCAGTCCTGTGGATGCCGCTGACTGCTTGAATATTTCAACTGTGTGGTATGCGCTGGGTGGTATCGCTCCCCAACTGTCGTGGTATCAGTTTCCCCATATGGTAGACCTGTAAGGCTGCGGAGGAGAGGAAGGGCCATCCTTGTCTTGGGTTACCTGCCCTGTGGTCAGAATCCCAGCAGAAGAGAACCAGCCAGATGCTGACCAATCTTGATTCCCAAGTTAGGTGTCTGCCCTGTACCTCTGCTTTTTCTTCCGGCCCTTCTCAGCCAGGCTGCACTCCTGACAGGGATCCCCAGTGACTGAGGTGCCTCCTCAGGTGGAGAAGGAAATCATTTCTGAGCCCCTAAACTATGTTTGGTTCCCACAGCTTCCAGAGACCCATGCTTACCTGCTTCTGGGCTTTCAAAATGCCTTTATTTCCTAAACCAAAATCCTGCTTTTTGCCCAGTTTGAAGGTTTCCAGAGCAAAACACTGAGGGCTGTTATCTTCCTTCTCCATCCAAGTTCTGCAGGCCTTTTTGAGGCCTTGCCCCAGTGGCCACTAAGGGGAAGGGGCCGGGGGGGGGGGCCTCTGTGCCAGTCACTCATCTCAACCTCATCTCAAACATCCTCACAGTTAGTCGGTGAGTATCTGCCCAGTCTGAAGGCCCAGCAGCCCCTCCCTGCTCTCCCTTCTACCTGGAAGCCAGGCATCTCCCCTCCCTGCATTGCCTTTCTCACTTCCCCACCTCCAGCCTTTGATCCTGCTCTCCGCCTGCTTTTCTGCCAACTTAAATCCACCTATCCATGGTTCCAGGCGCCCTTCCTTCAGGCAGGCTGTGCATCCTGCCCCAGGCCACACCAATCCCTTCACTTTTTTGACTTGGAAAATGGGGGTAATATTCTGACCTTAAAGGGTTTCTGTGAGGATTAGAAGAGATAAATGAGATAATAAACGTAAAGAGCTATAACAGTGCCTGAAGTAGAGAAGGTGTTCAATAAAGGTCCGCTATCATTGTCCATCACCATGTTTCGTGTTTTTTTCAGCTACATTTGCACCCTCTGCTCCATCTGATTCCCCTGTCCTCTAGGTGAGAAAGCCCAACAGTTATTACATCCCTGGGGCATTTTCCTTCCTGAATCACAGAGAAGCTGTGGTCAGGTCAGATGGCGTCCACTCCCAGGATACCTTCCCCTGGACCACAGTATTTCCAGCAAAACTCTTTTCCTGAAACTTAATCATGTGTGTTTCCTCCCGCCCCCAGATCTCTGTGGCTCATCTTTTGGGGGAAGCTTCCCGTGGGAGGAGAGGAGTTGACTCCTTCTGTCTGCTCCTTTCCCAGGCACAGCTCTGTCAAGGCTGATGAGGCCGCCGGCACGGCTCCCTTCCACCTCGACCTCTGGTTCTACTTGACCCTGCAGAACTGGGTCCTGGACTTTGGCCGCCCCATTGCTATGGTGAGCATGAAGCTGTGGACAAGAGTCCCAACCAGCAATGAGGACACATGGTGACTTGAATTAGCTGAGTGACCCCAGACGAGTCACGGCCCTTAGCAGTTAACTGTGACAACAGGCCTGGGTACTTTCATGTCCTTTAGCTCCGTGACTGTGACCCATGGGGCAGGTGCCAGTGGGTGGGAGATCTGGGGCCCTGAACAGTCATACTGTGCCTACCCCCACCATATCCCACATCCAGGTTTACCAGATCACCAAGCCAGACACAGGGGTATGGGAAGGAATCCCAGCTGCCTTCCCCACAGCCTTGGGATAGCATTGTTTTTCTGGAGGTGAGGCGTATAGGCTGATTTTGCACAATACGTATGACTTGAGCCTTGGGTCATTTTTTAGTGCCATCTGGTGAAACCATCCCCTTCCCTCCAAGGCTACCTATAGTGGTGGCCTCTACAGAGATTGATCCTGGAAGAGCATTGAAGCCCCTCACTTGTCATGGATGGATGAATGGATGGGTAGGTAGATAGTAGAAGGTGAAAAAAAATTGAGTGAGGGACAAGCATGTACCAAGTGGTTGGTTAAAAATAACCATATCCAACGCTGAAACTGACACCTTGCACATGCTAGTGATGATGCAAATTTGCAAAGCCCTTTGGGAAAACAGTTTGTCAAGGTGGTAACTAGTACCCAGAATAGTGCCTTGCAGGATATGTGTTCAGTGTCCTTGTAGTAAGTGAATAATAATTATAACAATAATAGTAAGGTAGAAATAGTGGTTAACATACATTGAGTGCTTACTTCATTCGAAGCTCTTTACATATTAAATTTATTTAGTTCAACACTATTACTAATCTCAATTTATAGATGAGATGACTTGAGGGTGGAGAGGGTAAGTGACTGGCTCAGGGTCACCCAACCAGCAGGTGGAGGAGCCAGCCCACTGGCCCGAGAGCCCACCCCCTCCTGTTATATATATACCCAGAACCCTAACGTGTTCAACCCTCCTGACTCAGTAAGACCTCTTCCAAGAATGTGCCCTGAAGATGTAATCTGCAAGACACCAGCCCCTGTACCAAAGATGTTCATTGCAGTGTTGCTTACAGGAGGCGAAACTTGGAAGTGACTTCAGTGTCCAGCCAAGATCAACTTGGCTACACCCAGTGTAGAGGTTGCTACCTGGGCATTAAACAGGAATTATGGATACTATAGAGGAACCTGGAATGTTTAAGGAGAAAAAAGATGCCTAAGGGACAGGCAGTCAGTAACAACTGTTAATCCTGTATCCGCTGGATCAGAGACTTGAAGGGGATGAAGAAAAGCTTCCTGGCAGCAGTGTCAGGGAGGAGTTATGACGGATGCTGGATCTCCTTTCTGCAGATTTTCCATGAGGTTTATGTGCCTTTTTTTAAATGTAGAAGAAAGAAAAGGGACTAAGCCAGGAGTCAGGGCACCTCGTCAGGTTTGTGGGCAAGTCACTGTCCCCCGAGCTTTGGTTCTCTCATCTCAAGAAGACTCCTTGAACTAGCCGTTCTGAGCCCCCTTCCAGCATGAAGGTCCCACATACTGGGGAACAGAGGAGCTGCCCACCAAACTGGTGTTACGGGGAGAGGGG